ATCCCCTGAATTTGGGTTCCTCTCGGGGCTTTAATTTGTGTTCCTAGGGATATGGAGCCCTCCGAGCTAAAGTGTCGTAGATTAGAGCCTTTCTCAGCATTTTTTGTACCTTTAATTTATTTAGCCCTTATTCGATTTGATATTTAATTGACCAGGATTAAACTGCATTACTACAAAAATCAACTAAAAGCGGTTACAGGCTTTTCGCTCTAAAATATCAATAAAACTTATCGTATTATACGTTTCACACAAACTGCATGATTTGAGTAGTTAAATCTGCGCTACCTACTTCTCCTCACGACATACTCTATTCTAATCTAATTCACAGCAAAACTGACAAAATTAGTGAAATATTGGCTTACAGAGAGCCTACAGTAGGCTTCGCTAAACTTAGACGACTGCTGGCTAACGGCCAGCCAACATTCCTGATGATACGTATCTGAGTTTACAACACAGACTTTGATTTACATCCAACATATTATGACTGCTTATTAGGGTATACATGCCAAAACTGCTCACTGTTGTGAGGTCTACTGTACTCGAGGAAATTCTCCAAGTTGTACTACACTAAAAAGAATTAACTGGGAAATAATATTCTACAAGAGCAAACTTTAGAAGATAAATGAACTACAAAGTTGCTACGTTGTGGTTCATGCTGACAATGGGGTTTATGCTCCAAAGCTATGATAAAGACGTGAATTCTAAGCACTAATTCACAAAGAAAGCAGTTCGGAATACATTACATTGCATAGCAACGAAATCAGCATACAATAAGAAGCTTTTCAAGCACAATCAAGAAGAAAATGTTTTTATAATCCCTACAAATTATTGTAAACCTTTTTTTTAACACATAAAGAATGAAAAAAATTTTAATGTCCCACTTGAGATAACAAAAACTAAAAAAATTCGAAACTGAATTATTTTAGTTTATGCAGCCACACACTTGTAAAATACCACCTCTTGTTTCTAAGTTCATATTGGTTACATATGCCACGTATTAAGGCCGAGAGTACCAGCTAAACTGGAGGACTTTCGTTTCCTAAACAACACAATCTCATCTAATTAAAAGAAAAACAAGGCATTAGTTTTTCTTTTAAATTTCACAATAGCTCTTACAGGAAATAGTGTATTATGAAAACCACACTGAAAACAGAACATCATTTTGTTTTCAGTTGAGCTTATAATAATCTTAAAATGACTTTTATTAGGAGCTGAATTTCTTTGACGCTTATTCAACGCTGTTCCTTGAATTACAAATCTACAGCAACATACTCCATTTGTTTAGAAATTAACTCGTTATGATTTCAACTCAATTGAAGCTTGCAGCTCTGCCAAGCCTGAAATCCAGTCTTAGCACCAAGCCATTAGGGATCCGAGCGGATGAGAATTTATAACGCTCTTCATTGTCCATGTTGCTCAGAGACCAGGCTGAGAGATGGGAAGCCTGTAATGTTGAACATGGTATGGCTGTGGCTGGACCGAGTGATCTCAGTGGCTTGAGGGGATGCTAGTTCCGACACGTAGCGCGTGACGCTGTTCGTTTGTGTCAGGTCATCTCCTCAAAGTCGTCACAAGAATGAACACTCCAAAATGATAAAACTGCGGGAGGGCTGGAGTCCAAAACTGCATGACGCAATAGAAGTCAAAAACATAGTTTGGACGCCTGATGTTTTCGATTTCTTGCCCCAACGAAATTTTAGGACCGCATGTGGTTGCACACCTCATTGCCCACATTTATTTGGAGTATTCAATCTTGTCACGACAACCGCTGCTAGTTCATGTTTTCCTCGCCGATGGTTTCCTCAAGTCTGTAGGGATAAATACACCAAAACTAAAATAAAAGACTAGGTCATTTGCTTTAAGCTTTGAGGGTCTGGCTCAATCAATTTTGAGTTGGTCTTTACGAAATAGTAAACTGCCTTCACATATGGAACCTTGAAATGACAGTTAACAACGGCAGATAAAAATGAACAAGCGAAACTGAAGCAAAAAGTATCGGTGAAGTTTTCGAATGAGTAAAACAAACAAGGATTTTTAAATGGACTAAATTTCAGTTTTGTAGTTTCATGAGTTTTTCTTGTACTTACTGGCTGACGTCTTTCGACATGTGTTCGTTGAGTGATGTATACAGCGTAATAAAACCTCTGACAACCCTAAATAAGGAAGCAGTCTGTTAGAAACTCAAGAAAAATCAAATGAAAAGGAAAAAAAAATTGCAACGAATCAAGCTCAATTTTTTAAACTGCCTATTACTGCTTTATCATGGCTGCTTTCGACTGACGTAGACTTTCCTGGTACTTGATTGGTTAAAAAAAAATTGATACAGGTAAGGGCAAAAAAGAACCGAGCTGTCCAAATTTCAACATGGAGCACAATACGATGGCCTTCCCTGAAAGAAAAAATACTTTGCTGTATGTTACCTTTCAATTTGTTGGGTGTTTTGTTGAGCTGTTTGGACTGCTTCTTTAGTTATCATTGACAGCGAATCAAGTCTGCAAGAAAACAACAAACGGTTTTTAACTCTAAAACGTTAATGTGTTCTTTTGCACTGTAAAAGTGAGAAAGTTTCACACAATTTCATTGTCAGCTTTGGCTCAAATCTTGCGGGGAAGGGGAGGGGGGAGGGGTGAATTAAAGGCAATGCCGAAATGATCCAAGTAGGGATGACCCATGTAATCATTTCACTCAATTCATGACGTTAACATGAACCATTCATTTCCATATTGTCAATTCATGCCTATAGAGGGAACCGTAAGCCTACAGCTGACCTGCTCTAAACATCAATGGTTTCTTCACAGTTAATAAAGAAATCCTAATTATGTTCAAATCCTGAACATATCAAATCTTTTTCTCTGTTAAAAGATTTATGAATTGTCCTTCTAGCCTGCGATCAGTCTATTGTCTTTTGGTATACACTAAAACAGTGGATGGCGTCGAAGGCGTGCTCCGATGGGCGACTCAAACTGTGAATATCTTTCAATATTCACCGCGGTATTTGCGCCCGAAAATATTGTTGTTGCAGGAATTAACGAGTTGAAGTCATCTTTTTGTACTTTATTATCTCCCCGTCTTGGTATATACGAACACAACGATTCACCCCAGTGTCAGAGGCTACTGGTGGATATTTACCCATAATACCCCGTTCCACTTTGGTGAATAGTTGTTAATATTACAAAACATCCCTGTGATGGCCATTTCATATTTTGTACTGTGCTCTTAGCAAAAGTAAACCCTTGTAAAATTTCCACCCGATACATACTCATTCCCAAGTTGGTTCACGGTGATACTATTCATATCCGGATCAGCATAACCATTCTGGGCGGCTGCAGCTGGCGCTGTTGCAGTCAGTACTGGGCTTGGAGAGGTGATGAGTTTCTGGAGCTTCTCAACAATCCTTTTCGACTTCTCTAGGCATTGTTCTTGAACCTTTAAAATCAAAGTGTTCCGTTAGCTGTCTGCTATCAGCTAACAACCTATACGTTTTTGCGTTGGCCAGGGCCATTCTAGATAAAATAGATGCGTTAGCTATTGCATCATAAAACAAATACAAGAGACGAGATTTCATCACATTTACAAACACTGAGTAAAGTTGAAAATACGAACCGGTGTAGAATGTTTCTAATGAGTTTCGAGGTGAGTGAAAATGTGATCAAATAAGCTTTCAGATAGTGATCGATACATCTCATCCAACTACTTAAGAAGCAAAGGATGAATGACTCGCATAAAGCCATATTGGTTTTGCGTCTAATTGGTTGAAGGGGGATGACGAAAGTTTTCAGGACAAATCACAAAGCGCGGAAAAGAAAACAAAGTCATCTTGGATACTTTCGATACTCAATCAAAAATTTCTTTAACAGACTCACCGATCGCAACGAAATAAGAAAAGCATCTTGAGCTTGCTTCTGGCCCAGAAATGAAGAATGCAAGCTTTCTGCCTCTTCATAACAGTGGTTTACTTCACTATGAGAGGCAAACATTAATAGCGTAAATACAAATGTGTTTCTGCAGAATGTTGAAATGTCAATAGTTTTCTCTTTCGTAATATAGATCGATAACTTTCAACTGCAAGAAGTGGGTCTTCGTTAGACAAAGAGGTGAACGTGTCACCTTTGAAAGCATAATGCTCCGCTGTGATTGGTGCATTTCGATCTTCGCTGGTTTAAGGAGGCAATTTACGCAATAACAACATCAAAAGAGGTGTTGGAATACAAATATTCCTGGAGCATGGCTACCCACAACAAAAGTACAGTCGGATCAATGCACAGCACTTGGAGAATACACCTTCGAAACGCGCCAGTCTAAACAAACATAGTTCACGAGTGAGCAAAGCGCTAAATTGAGTTTGACACAGTTCTTACTTGAAGTAGGCCATGGCATCAGTGTCGCGTATTTCACGTACTCAAGCCTCGTCGAGGCTATAATTGTTTCTTCCGTGCTGTTTTAACGCCTTATCTGAACATTTTATCATACAGAGGTCATTCCTTCATCACATCTCACCACACCGCATCTTTTTTTCCATTCATAGAGGGGGTAAGTTTCTAGAGAAATTGTGGTGCTGTGTCGGTGGGAGTATAACAGGGTAATTTGGTATTATCAACTGAGTTGATAACGTAAATTTACCACCGAAAAGAGTTTCAAAGCTGACGTTTCGAGCGTTAGCCCTTCGTCAGAGCAAATGGCGTATGGTTAACGCTCGAAACGTCAGCTTCGAAATTCTTTACGGTGGCCAATTTACGTTACCAAATTACTTTGTTTGAATTCGTACGTGTAAATGAACGTTACTTAAAAAGGAAAATATAATTACTTAAGCCACCCCACAAGCTTTTCATGTAATGCACTTCTGTGTTTCACAGCTTCTTCAGTAATTTTGGTGATCTTATCGCTCATGACAACCAACTTCTCCCGGTCAAACTTGTGTCTTTGTTCATCTGCATACGAAAGTCCTACAAAAGCGAGGTCATATCACCAGCAGTTAAGAGTTGTTGAAACCGAAAATAGTGTTTTACCGAGCTAGGGGTAAATAATGTTGTGTAAAGATCTTACTGATAGGAATTAATTGTCTTCATCGCAGTAAGGACCGAGGGAAACACTTGTACTAAGATCAAGGTTTAGTCTCCATGACAGTCGTTGTTGAATCTTGTCACGGAACAAGAGAAAGAGTGGTGCGTGAAGCCTGGTGCACACAAAAGATATAAGGGCATATCGAATCAAGTGTAACGAGGTTTGAATACCACTCTGAAATTTTGTTCGCTGTACGAACTCGTGGACATTAAGACAAATTTAGCCACCTGATGATATCAACACGACAACATGGGAATGGTCCTCACCAGCGACGACCAGCGACATGGAGGCATAACGACAAATATAACGACAAAAGAAGGTCGTTATGTCATTTTGATCGAATTGTGAACAGGCAGACGTAAACACAGGATAGCTACGTAACAGCATAGACTGAGTCATGAATAACGGAGGTAAGTTTCTAAAGAAACTGTGATGCTGCGTCGGTGGGTGGCATTACAAGATAAATTGTTTTTATCAACTGTGTTGATGATGTAAATTGGCCTCCGAGGGTTTCTAAAGCTGGCGTTTCGAGTTTCTAGTCCTTCATCGGAGCGACAATCAGGGACGGAGAGAGAAAAAAAAAACTGATAATTTCTATATGCCGTTATCATGTCATGTCATAACGTCGCAAAGGAATCAGGTTTGACTGCAAAGCAGCAGGTCTACAGCTTAAAAAAAAACATAAATTAGATTGTCCAGGATAAACAGTTAGACTGAGTTATAGTTCCATACAAACAACTTACTCCTGTGGTATTTGTCTTTCCGAAAGCTCTGGTAAATTTCTTCAATGTTTCCTGTATATGTAGACACCAAATTGAAGCTAAGAAGAAATAAATAAAGAAAAATTATTCAAAATATCAAATGTCCTTAGTTTGTATGGATGTTGTTCTATTAAGTATCGTAATAAAAGGAGTATCAGATATTGCTCTGTTTCCAACAAAGGAGGAAAATTATCTCCTGCAAAACACGAGAGAAAGATGTCAAATATGTCAAACATAGAAAGAAAGAAGGAAAGAAGAATCTGAGTTCTCCACGACGTTTCTAACCAAAGACCCTCCTTCCCTGCCCTAGTTCAGATGGGGGAGGGACTTCATTGTTAAGGTGAGGAGGGGGGGGGGGGGGGGGGTGTGGAGGAGGGGCATATGTACACATGTCATCTTTTGAAATGCAAAACTTCCACTGAACAAGTAATGGTAGAAATGTTTCTTGTAAACAACTTCAACAAGGAAAAAACGGCCGAGCAGGCCACATTGTCGCAGTTTCTATAATTGTTCATGCCTCGATTCCAGCCGTTTCACTAGCTTTCTCCCGTTTTTAGATCATCGTTTCAGGTCATTTTAAAATGTAATAAATAACAAAAGAGAAGAAAAATTCCTTACAAGGACTGGTCATCGGTGTCCTTCGTGAAGTCTTCCAAGAAAGCACGGAATCTGTCAGTCTCTATGACTTCAGAGATAAGTGTCTTCATCCTGTCATTTCTCTGGTAGGCTTTGTTCAACTGTCAAGGAAATTACCATGGTAAGGCTTAATCCTTAACCTTAACATCAGTAGGTATATTCTCCATACTGTTCTCTATATATTTCCTAAGATGCGCACAAGGAGAATTTGTCTATAAATCGAGTTTCTTTATTAGTGATCATTTCCTTTATTCTCGTGACTGTAATGTTTGATTCAGGGATGATTCTGTAGGGAGAAATTAGATGCCTGTCACTTTTAGAGGTCAGAGGGTTAAACAGAGTTTTGCCATCATGTTTTTAAAGTGGAAGTATGAGTGGTACAGTTTCTGTTTTTGGCTAAAAAGGCAGGGTATGAGTCTGGGTATGAAACTTCAAAAGCATGACTATTCATAAGAAAGCCGCTGAACAGTACTTTCCTGTGGTAGTGTTTACGTTGTTTTACACAGTTTTCTATCCATTGAGTCTGAACCGGTAAGGCCTCAAAGAGTGATAATTGAAATGAAGGTTACTGAACACGTTCATGCAATACTAGTTATCATGCTGTACAAGTTGGGTCCCACCTTTAGGTCTGCGAATGAAAGCTAGTGTGGGGCCATTCAACAGAAAGCTACCAAGCATTCTTTTAATTTAAACAGTTTATTATTTAAGGTGGTTATCACTTTTAACCCTTTCACCTGTAGAGGACAAGAGAATAATGGAAATGATCACCAATTTAGGATGCTCCTGAGTGTCAAACAAATTTTCCTTGTCATTGCCACAGGAAATGTAAAGAGATCAGTGTGGAGAATATGAGTATTGCAGTGAGAGTCTTTACCTCCCCCTCACTCTCTTTCTTACTCTCTGACCACTTCTGTATGTCTTGCACTTCCTCCAAAATCACTTTCACCTCATCTATTAAAGAAGTATGCACAATGAGAAAAGCGTACTTAAGGTGAGCGAAAATTAGGACATAAATTTCCCTGAAACTTACCCTTTGGTTCTGTTAGTTTTGACAGGAGAGCGTCAAACACCCAGGCATGGTGCATCTGGCTGTAAATAACAAATTTACCTGATTCAATATTGTGTTAATGATATAGGTACAGAGTTAAAAGGCAGTATTGAAAAATCAATATATATGCATGTATAATTCGGCTTGAAATCAGCCTCTCAAAGGCGTTACAATATCGGCCTGTTGGTGACAATTAAAAAAGTCTTTACTTAGCCGGAGTTTATCCTGGTTTCCTAGGAGTATTACTACTTCCCCTTAGATGGGATGCTGGTCCATCGCAAGGTTACCCCTCACCCCCCCCCAAAAAAAAAAAAAAAAAAAAAAAAAAAAAAAAAAAAAAAAAAAAAAAAAAGAAGAAAGAGCATTAAATCAGGCTTCCTTGACAATTTGCTGGAACCCATTTATACTCCTGGGCGGAGAGAGGCACTGTGTGAGCAAAGTGTCTTGCCCAAGCACACAACACATTGACCCTGCAGGTCTCAAACCTGGAATTCTCTACCAAGAGTCCAGTGCACTGACCATCAGGGTGCTGCGTCTCCCTGCTATTGGGAGAACCAGTGGCAAATGTTGGTACACCACATCAAATACTAACTTGCCAGCAAAGTGTAAAAACATCAAAATCAATTGTTTAAGCAATACCCATTCAAGGTCTGAAAATTCTTCTATTGGAAACTGCCAAGAGGGGATTGCACCCTTAGATATTTCTTTTGCAACTGCCAGCACTAATCCCAATAGTTGAGCATGAATGAGTGAATCAGTGAGCTGCTCCTCCATGACAGGACTACACCCCTCCCCTCCCTCCTCCAAAAAAACGAAAAAAAGAGGTTTTCAAATTTACCTTATCATTTATTTGGATCTTTTTAAACAAATACTCCTTCGTAGAGAGAGGCACTCTGAGAGAAAAGTTTCTTAACCCTTTAACTCCCATGAGTGACCAAGACAGAATTTCTTCTCACAATATCAATACAATATCAATCAGACAGGTGATGAGAATAAAAAAAAATGTAAGTTTGAGGATTCTCTAGTTGATCCGGTACCAAATTGTCTGAACTAGCACCACAGGAATTGTATAGAAAATAGTAAGGAGCATTACTAAGGATAATTACTAATGAGATCTTGGGCGTTTAAAAAACAGAAACAAAATAGTGTTGATAATTACCTTGTGTAATAGGCTTCAGAGATCTGTTGTAGGGCAGTCCATTCTGATTCCATTTGTTTACAGAAAGAAACATAAAACATCATATCCTTCTTGAGATTTTTTCTATGAAACAAGTAAATTTAAAACAGTTAATTTTGCCCTGTGGAATTAACAAGGTCCACACAGACCTGTGTTAAATTTACAATATGTAGGATTGCTTACAATGCAACCACCAAAACAATTTAAATTGTGATTCAAGTTTGATACATGGTAAAAGTAAGTCAAAATTGAACAAAGATCTAACCTTAACCCTCATTAATTAACATACCCTTAAGTAAGAAGCAGAAGACTCACTAATGAAGTACTTGCTATTTGTTCTAAATACATTACATGTCCTCATGTAGCAATTATATAATTATGTCGGTGGATAAACTAGGTAAAATAAGCATTTAATATAACCTGTGTAAGTAAAATAATTTGAATTATTGTAATCAATATCACCAATACTTATTTAATTATTGAATATATCATTTTCAACTGATTTGTGAAAATATGTTCCAGCTGTGAACATCTCCTTTATGGTGACTTTTGAAGAATGTCCACAGGACTCATCAGAACACCTGTGTATAACATTCAATACAAAGAACACTGAGCACTCACAAGACGCTTTCAATGGTCACCAGCATTGCCTTAGTTGCCCTGAAGTATTGTTTGACTGCATACTTGCAGCACTGTGCACGATTTGCCATCATCTACACATAAATACATACAATGTAAAGAATAAATAAATAAATAAATAAATAAATAAATAGTACGTAATTAAAAAAACAGCGAATTCTTTAATTAAACCTTTAAACCCTAAGAGTGACCAGCATCTAATTTCTCCCTTCAGTAATACTGCTGAATCATTCCTTAAGATCATGAGAATGAAGGAAATGATCACCAACATAAGAAGCTTTGATCTTCAAATGAATTCTCCTTGTCAGTACCAAAATAAAATATATAGAGAAGAGTGTGGAGAATATAGATACTGATATTAGGGTGTAAAAGGTTAAGACTAAAAACAGAATTAGTCATAAATTACTAAAAGTTAAAAATTTGAAATGCCTAAAGATAACACAAACAAATTTTCGTAAAATTATTAAAACCCTATATATCTGTATATTCAACACATTGAAGAAAAAATATGCATCAAAAATAGTTTGTAAAGATCGAGTTACTGTACTGTTTGTTAAACTAAAAATTAGAGTGTGATTTTGTTCTTCACTTGTATCAACTTTCTTTATAGCTAAACATCATTTTAAACATTATTAATTAAAAAGAGGTATTAAAGCAAATCATTTTACATGACATAAATTCTACATAAAGTTTTTATTATTATTACATGTACCAGTACTCCCCAGCATGCAATAACATTAAATGAATGTTACCCTATGAGTAAGTAGATATTTAAAATATTTCATATTAAGCAGTAAAATCCTCTCTGGCCCCAGTCGATACATGAGAGCAAAGCCACAACATTCAATCAATCTGCATGTACTTTGTTACTCTAGAGGGCTGTTCACAAAAACAATTGCTAGCCCTTCAAAGAAATATAGAAATGAGGAGAGAGTGTTTGATTTAACACCAATATTACTGGTCTAAAATTTAAGGTATGCTTCACAAACAATGTAGAAAAGGATTCTTTAGGTCTTTGAGTGAAAGATTTAAATCAGAACCTTTGAAGTAGATGAATCTACTTCCAAAGTGCTTTCCGTTGGTAGTTTGAGGAGATTGGCTGCAAAGTGAATTAAAAGTCACAGTCAAGTTTTTCAATCAAGGCACCACACTTGACAGTAAAAACTTTTTGCAAAGCATGCCAGATTAGCTCATCTGGCATGAATCTTTTTATTTAAGGGAGGCTTGGTGCAAACCAAATTATATCATATTTAGTGTAATTGAATTTGAATAAATCTGATGTTCATGTGAAATAGCACCCCAAAAGTCAGTTGAGGACATGACCAAAAAGTAAGATGATGTGGCAGGCCTATGAAAAAGGAGCCATATCTTATACTATAATGGATCAGTGTATTCATAGGCAAGATCAAAGGAGAAGTGCAGTGAATAACAAAAACTGAATGCAAAATTTAAAGATGGAGATGATTGGTTGCAATTGCACAAAGAGGTCATTAGGTGACTAAAAAGTTTGAAAATATGACAAAGCATTCTGACCGCATTCTTCAAACCATACATTAAAAAATATTATCTAATCCTCAAGCAACATTCAGTCTCAGTGTACAATATGAAAGATCAATTCTTACTGATTTTGTAAAGGGATAATCGCTCTGGAGACATGTATTCTCCTCCAGTCATCACCATGAAGATGTCATCCTGAAAAAGATGCAACACTTATGTTGGACCAGACAACAATAAACAAATTAATTGATGGATAGATGGACACAGGAGTATTCCGTAACTGAGGATAAAAATATGCAAAGGAACTTTATTGCTAGTTCTCATACTCACAGATGTCTTAGGATAGGATGACGAAGGAGCCATGGGATCTGGCTTGAACTCATCGTACTTAAAAAACAATTTCTGCTGAGCAGCACTGACTCCTGTTTGTACTGCAATGAGTTCCTGGAACTTTGCAAAGCTATATAGTTTAATAACAGGTAATTGTCATGTTAATAAGGAAGTCACAGGTACCAATAACATGAATTTTCATGGATTTCAAAGTGGTTAAAAGGTCAATTGTTGTGTAACCAAATGGTGATGACTGCTCACTCAATCACTACCCACAAGTTGACATGTATTTACCACTGCTTAGTTAAATTTTCTTTTAAATCAAAACTAACAATTTTACTACTACTACTGATAAAGATAATAATAAATTATTCATTTATTTATTGCCTTTGCTCCATGATTCAAAGGCACTGATCGCAATGGTTTGACTTAAAAATACTTAGAATAATAAAAAGAACAAGTTACGTGAAAAGACAGTAAAACATAATGATTTAAAAGCTTCACAAAAAGGAATGTTTTGAGTTTGCATTTATAGTGTCCACAGAGCAAACAGATTTAATACACATGGGCAATTTGTTCCACAGTTCAAGAGCAAACTCAGTTTTAGAAGTTTCTCCTTATGATTCTTTAAAGTTATCTAACACAATCACTGGATGATGTTACAACTGAAACTCACGTATCACTCTGCTTCATGTAGATCTTGTGGAAAGAAGCTGAATGCACCGAATAAACATCGATGACCTAAAAAATAAGGTTGTCATGATCATTATCATTATTAACAATACAATCATGGTAATAAAATTATGTTTAGTAGTCTGCACAATAATACAAGCAGTTTCCTTGGCTTAAGAGGAAAAATGTAATTCTTAACAAGGATTAAGTCAGCTAGGACAAGAACTTGTTTCTGAAAATGAGACATAGGCTCCAAGATGTTTAGGATTATCCTAATTAAAACTCACAATTTCATCACAAAATAGATTAAAGTTTCCCCCAACAAGGAAGTTTAGGCATATTGTAATACAAATTGTACCTTCCGTGACAAAATGTCTTGAATACTGACAAAAAACTTTCCAAACGACATTGCATTTGCTGGGTCAGATTCCAAAATACCAGCCAATACTGGTGTCAAGAGTTCTTTCAGACCCCTAAAATAATAAAGCAAATAATTTATATGAAAAAAGTAATATCATTCATATATTTAACAAACTTCGAGTCATCAACACAATGTCCTTTCCTAATTTTGGTGAAAATTTGCTCTTTTTTTCCAAAAGAGTCAATCAGTGTTACAATATTTTCTGAGTGTATCATTAACAAATCAGTATAAACCAGTACTACATTCTTGATTAATGAAGGTCCCATCTATATTACATGTAAGTCCAAGTCAATACCAAATTGAATTAAGCTTGAGATAGTCAGTATATACAGCAGTCTACACAATGGCTGCTAATGTTCTCTAACTCTTATGGAGCTTTAATTTCATCTGTTGAAAAGATTAATTGAGGTCCTCTTTAAATTACCCGAGTCTGTATCTCTTTACTTCACTTTAATTTTCTCAAATATGATCGAAAGATGTTCTTAAATTCTTAAGAATTAACAATTAACATGTACAAGCCAACAGTGCCATTTTTAGATTATACCAAAACCCTTGTGAAATAGCAGTGCTTAACTGATGACTTCTAATGAAACATAAAAATTTGTTAATTTGGTATTATCAACTGAGTTGATACTTGAATTTGCTGTTGTAAAGAGTTCCAAAGCTGACGTTTTGCGCGCTAGCCCTTCATCATTCACTGACTCAAAGGGCTAACACTCGAGATATCAGTTTTGAAACTCTTTACGGTGGCCAATTTACATTTATTTATCAACTCAGTTTATAATGCTAAATTTCCCTGTTATACTCTCCCACCAATGCAGCCTTACCCCCTTTACGAGAAATTTGTTGCCTACCAGTTGCCTTGTTAGATCGGATGGTTTTTTGAAATTTTAGGATGAATCATCATATTTGTCGCTTTCTTCTGGTATAATGCTGATTTCCCAGAACTTGGTTAATAGGTTGTCGAGTTTTGACTCTTCTACTGGCATGAATTTGACCCTTTGACAGAATGTGTTTAAGTCGTTGTTGGTTACATGGTTGTTCTCGTTTTGAATGGGTCCTGATAGGAGCCATCCGAATTTACTTTCCATAGCAATCAAGGCGTCGTTTGCAGTTAGAAATCAGCTGACCGTAATAGTCATTTCCAATGATGATATCTACGTCAAGATTTTGTGATGATTGCAAACGATGGCAAAGTTTGGGGTCCTTTTAATTCAGGAGGCATCTTTAGATTCTTCATCAGGACTGATAGCCGTGGACAAATAATTGGAGTTACTAGCGCTTTTATTTTGATTTCTAATACTTTGAAATGAACCGAATGTATTTACATCCAGGAGTTCTTTTCCCATTGCTTTTAGTTCAAATTTGTGCTTCATATCTTGAGTAATAAAGGTTCTTTGTGATCCTGTATCGAACAGGATGCGAGCTTGACGATATTGTTTACCGGCTCTTATCTTTGTGATGACGGATTGCATCAGGATATGATTAGTAGGATGAAGGGAATGCGTTACTTGTAAGCACTAAAACATGGAACGATCTAAAACCACCTAAAACCACTAAAACCACCTACAACAACCTCAAAAATTTCAACAACCACCTACAACCACCTCAAAAACATCTACAACCACTCGCAAACTATCTAAAACCATCTGAAACAAGGCATAAATGTCTAAAATAAGGCGAGACGACAATATGTCATGTGCATGAAATACGAGAATCGAACGAAACCTCCACCTCCCCCTGAAATCTTACTCTCCCTGGTCCCATGTATAATCAACCCTCCCACGAAATGAAATGCGATAGAATGCTAATTAATTTATATCCCTCAGTAGCAAAAGACTTGAAGAACTTTACAAAATGAAATAACAAGTTACAAAAAATAATGAATAGGGAATAATACATGGGCGTGCGTAGATATGGAATTTCTCTTCGAGTGTTTAACTCAATAGCTCACGAGAGAGCGCAGCGAACGAGTGAGATGTCGAGTTGAACACGAGAAGAGAAATTCCATATCTACAAGCAATCATATATTATTTTGTTTATCATATAAACACAATAGCCCTTTTCTGGGAAGCAAAGCCGACCTCATTAATGAATGAAAATAAATGAATCAACAATCCTCGAATAACAATCGTAGAGTGCGTTGGCGCTGACTATTAAGATGGAAAAATGCGTTGAATCATGATTACAAAAACTTCCATATCTACGCGCGCCCGTGTATCATTCCCTTTTTATTATTTTTTGTAACTTGTTAGATAGTTTGCAAGTGGCAGTAGATGTTTTTGAGGTGGTTGTAGGTGGTTGTTGAAATTTTTGAGGTGGTTGTAGATGGTTGTGGGTGGTTTTAGGTGGTTTTAGGTCGTTCCATGTTTTAGTGCTTACCATGTGTCGTACTCTCATGTGGGTTGTGTTCTTCGCTATGGTATTTGTAGGTGACTGACTAGTGTTTGAATTTTTGTTTTCTTTTATTTGATATGATGAACTTTGTGTTGGATTGTCTTGTTTTTCTTCGCAAATTGAAGTATGGTGTTTCTTCATACATCGACCTTTTGAGTGGCATTGAATTTTCGTGTGAGTCCAAGACTGTTGAGACATCTTTGTTGGCGTTGAAGGATAGATCACCGTTCCTCTACTGATGTAATTTTATCACATTTTTCTGGGCGGTGTGTTTCCGTGCAGTAGGTGTATGGTCGTGATACTTTCGGTTTTCCGTTGAGAAATCTTCGTTTTTCCTGAGCATTGGTAAGTAGAGCGCCAGCGGTTGGTACGAATACTTCTTCGTCCGTGGCAACAGATGTGGAATCTTCTAGAGAGGATATGCGGCTTTTCTCTCGTGTTTCAATTTCTTGTCGTATGGCTACCTTCAATCTATCCAAGGAGCTATCTGCTAAAGGATCAGCTCTGAATACTAAGCAGCCTACATCCCCGGGTATTTTCTTTAGGAGTATGGGAATTAGCAAACTTCCATATGATTCGGTCTTTACTCCAAGTGTTACTAAGCCACGAATATTGGCTTTGCATAAATCGTGAAATTCCCTTAAATTTTTACTGTCACTTGATGGCGCGTGGATCTTGAATAACGATTCCATGTAAGCGTTGTCAAATTTTAGGTTTTGCCAAAGCGCTCTTTTAATTGCTCAGTTGCCAAAGATAGCGCGCGCTGCTTCTCCTTCTCCATTTTTCCAACATCACTTAGTTCAAGATTTTTATCGATAGCTGCACTAAAGCTATCCCAGAATGTGAGCCATTCAAGTGGATCTCCTCCAAAGGATTTGATTTTTATCTTAGGTAAACTGATATGCATTCGAAGCGTTGGTGCTTGTTTGAAACTACTACGATGGAACTGACTCACCGGTGTTTCTTGTTTACTCTTAGGAAATTGTTTAATTTTGAATTGCCAGTCCGATGTATCGTCTTGAAACAATAGGGCTGATTCTGTGTCTTTTAGAATGTCTTCCTCTGTCTCCAACGACATCACAATTTTAGCATTCATCTGCGCTATTTCTCCAGCTCTTCGTGTGAGTCTGTCCACGAGTGCCTCCAATTCAGCGTGATCTGAACTCTTTGAAGTTACGAGTTTTTCTGCCTTATAAAAAATCTTGTGTACAGTGTCCTTTGTAGGCTGCTCGGATCGATCTCATTTTGTTTATATCTTCTCTCATCCTGGTCACGGCACCAATGTTGCAACTATTGTAACGACGTAGTATCACGATGGTCAAGAAACCTGTTTTCTTCATTTTGTAAATCTCAGAAGAACATCACGCACATTGTGACGTCATAATTAAATAATTTATGACACATAACAATCACACTTACTGAGACAATCGTGTATGATCAGGAAGTTTGTCACTCCACTCAATGTCCTCCCCCTCACTCTTCTGAACTCCAGAAATCATACCAGACCGCTTCTTAGATGTGATCACATGCCTATAAATAGTAACATTACAAACAACCATTTAATTACTAGTTCATTAAAACCTGTATGCAAGATTGATTATGTGAAGATATTTTAATAATTTACTAATTAAAAGTTCATATGTACTGACTGCAACAGAATTGAAACATTTCCACATAGGCCAACACAGAGCACAAGCTGTTTACTATTGTAGACAAGCCCTTGCTGAGAAGAAGTTTTAATTCAAGTTCATAATATATAGATTTAACCAAGCCTAAAAGCGGAGTTCACATTTTTTTTCCCCACATGTCTTGAAAGCTGTGGTGTTGATGTGTCTGTGGTACAATTGGCTGCGCATGCTAAAAGTAGCACCTTGTACACATGGTTGTACAGTCGTATGGTCGTAAGTCCAAATTTTTTTGGCTTGATGGGTTGCGTGTGCTGTGAGCTCTGCTATTAGAGTATTAACTACAACAGAGTTGCAACAAGCTAAAGGTAACATGACTGTTAGTTGTAAAGGTTGTAGCCTGTATCAGGTGTTCACTTCGTAAAAAATGGAAAATAAACAAATGGTGCAATTATATTAAGCTGTGGAGCAAAAAAAGGAAGCAGGTTTGGGGTTAAGTTGGGTTGAGTTCTTTATGTGTTCCAATCCAAACCTCCTCCTTTTTTCACTCAGCTTTTCCAATAGGCATTCTTTGTTTAACTGATAAAATCCCTGGAACAGCCTGTGACAATGCTGATGTAAGGAAGTCCTTGTCTGGATATGAGAGCCAATGACTTAGCCCTGTAACTCCCATGAGTGACCAAGAGAGAACATCTCATTTCAGTATCAATGCAAAATCAAGCAGACAAGCGATGAGAATAAAGAAAAATAGCAATAAGGGGGATTCTTAGTTGACTCACTACCAAATTCTCAAAACTAACATCATAGAATTGTATGGCAGATATTAAGGAGAATTAGTGATAAGATCTTGGAAGTGAAACAGTTAACTGTAGGTCTAGTACTCTGACAAGGTTGATTTACTAACATGGTATCCTTGTTCTGTCGCCCACCATATGGTCTGAAGGGCAACTGTCCTGTAGCAATATGGTAAAAAGTTACCCCAATGCTCCACAAGTCAACCTGGAGGACAGACATAATCATCAAAATACCATGAGGTGATTTGTTTATTATTCATATAATTATTTACATATTATTCATTTCATCATACAGTGTAAAGGGCAACTGTCCTCAGAAGTAATAAGGTTAAATGTTATCCCAATGCTCCATAAATCAACCTAATCATCAAAATTCCATGGGGTGATTGATGTTTATTATATATTACTCATTTCTTCACATCTTTATTGAATTCTAGAAAAACTATACATGACAGAACAAAGTGTTAGGTGGTGTTTGAGGTCCTTAAATGCAACAGTTATAAACTTGGACAAGATTAATTAATTTGTGGAGAGTTAATACTTTCCTTTACTTACCATTGCACCAAATGTCTTGTTTGCATGTTTCCTGAGCACTCCTCTTTCATAGAGATCTGGATGCTATAAATTGAATTTGAGTTTAGGTAATAACATAAAATATTTAAATAAAGGAGCATAGAAGAATTATTATAAAAGAAATGTAGATCACAGGTAGTGCTGCTGCTGCTGAGACAATTGTATTCTGTGATCTTGATGTAACTCACACTGCATCCAGAGAGTGGTTATAACTTCTATAAGACATTGAATTAACCCTTTAACTCCTGTGAGTGACCAAGACAGAATTTCTCCTTACCATATCTATACCATATCATGCTGACAAGTGATGAGAATTATTTAAGAATATTAATTATAGGATTACTAATTGATCCAATACCAAATTCTCCATACTAATTTACTGAGAATCATTTAGCAGACAGTAAGGAGAATTACTAATGAGATCTTGGGAGTTAAAGGGTTAATTAAACATGACATTTTTCCACTTGATAGATACTGTATTGCCTTTGACTTAAGCTTGTATGGATTCTGTGGGGAGGCTTAAAATCGTTATAAAAAGAGTGACAATGGAAACAGGTTTTCAATGTATTCCTACTTTTTAATAAAGCGAGGGAGGGGCACCCTTTCAAGTGAGGCCATTGTTCTATATCATGGCCTTGAGGGGGGTGCATTTTTGATAGAGGGCATTTATTAAAGCATGGGCACTTATTTGAGAAAACAGGGAAGGTTTTGTTTCTATCATCAAGTTTTTCAGCCTTTGCCAAGTAATATACATAATATTATGCTATCAACAGTTATTAATTATAGACAAATCTAATTAATGCCTGACATACCAAATATTCCTCTGTGCCGTACACAGACATGAAGACTTCATGAGCTTCCAGTTCCCTTGCAGCCCCAAAATCAGTTAACTTGTAAACAAAGCTGATAAAAAAAAATTGCAAAAATTCAATTAGAGCTGAAATAAGAACCAATTTCCCATAAATAAAACAGCTGCATCTCTTGCATGTTAGGTACTTTCTCCATTGACAATCAGAGGAACTCATTAGTTCCTTTCATGTTAAAAATCTATTCGGAAGTATCAAGAAGTTGTACTCTGGTCTTTTTAAAAGTCATGCCTTGGCAATCATTTAATTGACATCATGATCACATTAAGTCAGTGATTATTGCAAGTGTAGTAAAACCACAACCGAGGGGTCAGTTAGAGTCAAATTGTTGTAAAGCTTGGGCTAACCTTTCACTTGTTGGTGCACACTCACGAAGAGAGGCACATGCAACTATTGTACAATCAACTGAATCTACTTTATTGCTTGAATCAATGTTCTTATATATATAATGGTAGCTAACTAATTTGTGATATATGGTACAGAGGATAAATGGAGTTTCCCTTGGCATAAACAACTTTATCACTACAATTTCACAGATATGGTTGAACATTCATGCAAATCCTGCAGAACTAGGCGTTCCTACAGAAAGCACGAATTATATCTGACATCCCATGCAGCATGCAATAGATTGTTTTCACACTTACATAGACAACAATGAATCTCACAAATGTCATATTTCTGATTATAATTACATAATCAAATGTTATCTAAAATAAACAGCTTCATCACTACAATTTCACAGATATGGCTGAACACTCCTACAAATCCTGCGGAACAGGGCGTTCCTACAGAAAGCATGAATTATATCTGACATCCCATGCAACATGCAATAGAATGCTTTCACACTTACATAGACAACAATGAATCTCACAAACATCATATTTCTGATTATAATTACATAATCAAATGTTATCTAAAATTGCTTGTCACGTTTTGTCACACTTTGCTACACAAGCTAACTTATACTGACACCCTCAACGAATCTAAGAGTGTCCAACATTAGGTGGCAGAGCCAAGGTGGTTGAGGTTGCCCCTCCCCCTGCTCCCTAATGGAGATATATCCAGAAATACATGCAGTAATGAAAATTGCAAAAAAAATTGTCAAAAATCATCAAATCTGCCAAGCTGATTTCTCTTTGACTAATTTGACTAAAATTCACTAAAATTGTCAAATCCATGAACATTTGCTTGGTTTGCTATATATTGGCAAATTGTTTAGTTGAGTTTGATGAACTGATAAATTATGTTTTAAGACTCTCTTGAAACCACTTCCAACTTATGAGCATTATTACAATTGGATTACGAATACACTAAAGATTATTGCAAAGAGGTTTGCCAGAGCCAAGGAATTTTGCAAAGGACACTTTGGGAAATTTGAGTAAGGGATACATACAGTGCTAAGTGTATAAGCATTTCTTTAGCACCAGCTAGTTTGTTACCTTCGTGAATAAATAAAGAAATGTTGATCTTATAAGAAATACCTTCCATCATCCTTAATCACTCTCATGATGTTCCCAGGCTTGAGATCTCTGTGAACCATGCCTT